ACGTAAGCACGCACGTAAAGCACGCACGTAAGCACGCACGTAGCACGCACGTAAGCACGCACGCACACACACACACACACACACACCACACACACACACCACACACACACACACACACACACACACACACACCACACACACACACACACACATACACACACACACACACACACACACACACACACCACACACACACACACACACACACTCACTCACTCACTCACTCACACACAGGCATTGCATATAGGTGTACACAAAGACGTACGCATACATATACACGCACATGTATGTATACCCATACTTACACATAAACACGCACATAGTACATTCATTTACATGGTCGATTGATCGTTTGATTGCGTGAGGGAATCAAAAGCAGGTAAAGGGCAGATTAAACATTATATTTGATTGTAACGATAAGTGTAGATAGCTTTATAGAACAAGATTTTTTTTTTTTTTTTTTTTTTTTTTTTTAGAAAACGAAAGTAAAAAAGAGCAGAATTGGATTTTTTTATTATTATTTTTTTTAGAAAACGAAATTTTTTTTTATTTTTTTTTATTATTATTATTTTTTTTAGAAAACGAAATTAAAAGGAGCAGAATTGGACTTTTTTATTTTATTTTTTATTATTATTATTTTTTTTTTAGAAAACGAAATTAAAAAAGAGCAGAATTGGACTAGAAATGATACTTGAATGTAACGGTGAGTGTAGATCGATTTGTATATTAAAAAATGGAATTCATAGGAGCGTAATTGTACTAGAAATGATGTTAGAATGTAACGATAAATATAGATGGATTTATGAAATAAGAAAATAAGAATATTGAAAAAAGAGAGAAAACGCAATTAAAAGGAGCAGAAATGATATTTACATAAAATCTAAATAAATAAATAAATAGATAAATAAATAGATAAAATAAAACGCAATTAAAAGGGCAGAAATTATATTTACATCGAAAATCTATAAGAAAAAAGAAAAATAATAAAGAAAAAAAGAAAACAAAATTAAAAGGAGCAAAATGATATTTAATCGAAATCTATAAGAAAAAGAAAAAAAAGAAAACAATTAAAAGGAGCAGAAACGTTATTTACCTCAAAAATCCATAAAATCCATTCTGTATCTCTTCCGTATCTCCCTTTCCGACATTTTTCTGAAATTTATTTTATGAGACGCAGCGCCGGCCGAGGAAAACAAAATCGTATTCTCGAGAGGAGCGGTTGATAAAAGGAGAAGAGAGAAGGAGAGGGAGAGGGAGAGAGAGAGAGAGGGAGAGAGAGGAGGAGGGAGGGAGGGAGAGGAGAGGAGAGGGAGAGAGAGAGAGGGAGGGAGGGAGAGGGAGAGAGAGGGAGGGAGGGAGAGGAGAGAGAGAGAGGGAGAGAGAGGAGAGGGAGAGAGAGAGGAGGGAGGGAGGGAGAGAGGGAGGGAGGAGGGAGGGAGGGAGGGGAGGGGAGAGAGAGGGAGGGAGAGGGGAGAGAGGGAGGAGAGGGAGAGGGGAGAGGGAGAGGGAGAGGGGAGGGAGAGGGAGAGGGAGAGGGGGGAGAGAGAGGAGAGGAGAGGAGAGGAAGAGGGAGGGGAGGGAGAGGGAGAGGGAGAGAGAGGAGGGAGAGGGAGAGAGAGGGAGAGAGAGGGAGGGAGGGAGAGGGAGAGGAGAGGGAGAGGGAGAGAGAGAGGGAGAGGGAGAGGGGGAGAGAGGGAGGAGAGGAGAGGAGAGGGAGGGAGAGGGAGAAGAGGAGAGGGAGGGAGGGGGAATGGAGGGAGAGGGAGAGGGTGAGAGAGATTTGAGGGAATTGAGGGGAAAATTGAAGGGATAAAGGAGAGACATAGACAGAGAGAGAGAGGGAGAGAGAGAGAGGAGAGAAGAAAGAGAAAAGAGAAAGAAAAGAGGGAGAGGGAGAGGAGAGATTATTGTTATTATTATTATTTCTATCATTATGATTATTATTATTACTTTTATCGTTATTATACCTTCATTATTAGTGAATTATTATTGCTATTATTTTTTTAAATTATTATTATTATTGTATTATTATTATTGTTATTATTATTATTATATATTATTATTATTTTATTATTATTATTATATATTGTTATTATTATTATTATTATTATTATTATTATTATTATTACTATTGTTATTATTACTATTCATTGTTATTATTATTTTTTTTTTCATTATTATTACTATTATTATTGTTATTATTATAATTATTGCTATTAATGTTTAATGGTGTTATTATTATGATTACTATTGTTATTATTATTGTTTTTGTTATTATTATTATCATTATTATTAATATTTATTATTACTATTATTATTATTTATTATTATTATTATTATTATTATTATTATTATTATTATTATTATTATTATTATTATTATTATTATTATTGTGTTATTAATGTTTGATGATGTTACTATTGTTATTATTCCTGGTTCTTGGGTCTCTCTCTGGTCTCTGGTTCTCCGAAGGTCTCTCTCTGTGGTTCTACGGTTTACAGAAATTTGTCTCTTTCTCAAGTTCTCTGATTCTTAAGTCTCTCTCTCTCTTCTCTGTCTCTGTCTCTGTCTCTGTCTCTGTCTCTGTCTCTGTCTCTGTCTCTCTCTGTCTCTGGTCTCTGTCTCTGTCTCTCTCTCTCTCTCTCTCTCTCTCTCTCTCTCACTCTCTCTCTCTCTCTCTCTCTCTCTCTCTCTCTCTCTCTCTCTCTCTCTCTCTCTCTCTCTCTCTCTCTCTCTCTCTCTCTGGTTCTCAGGTTTTCTGGTTTTCTAGTTTTGTGGAGTCTCTTTCTGGTTCACGGGTCTGTATCTGGTTCTCTGAAAGTATATGTCTTTGGTCCTCCGGTTTTCTAAAGATCTGTCTCCGGTTCTGTCTGATTCTCTGAAGATCTGGTTCTCATGGTCTCTGGTTCTGGGTTCTTTTTGGTTCTTGGGTTCTTGGGTCGTTTTTTTTTAATCTTGGTTCTGACGTCTCTCTTTGGCTCTCCATTTCTCTCGTCACTTGTCTGGTTCTCCCTTTCCCCCCAGAAGTTCCCTCTCTGGTTCTCCGGTTCACAGGTCTGTCTCTGGTCCCGTCGGTTCGTCGATGGTTCCACGGTTCTCTGAAGGTCTTTGGCTGGTTCTCTCTGGTAGGAAGCGTCTTGTTCAAAAGTTTTATCTGCTTGGAAAGTTTTTCATATGGAGGGAGGAGGAGGAGGAGGAGGAGAATGAAAAAGGGAGAAAGAAGAAAGTGGGGTGAGGAAGGAGGAGGAGAGGGAGGGGAGGAGGAGGGGGGAGGGGGAAGAGGGAGGGGAGGAGGAGGATGAAAAAAGGGAGAAAAAAGTGTGGTGAGAAAGAAAAAAGGAGGGGAGGAGTGGAGGGGGAGGAGGAGGAAGATGAGGGCGGGGGGAAGAGGAGCGGGAGGAGGGAGGAGGAGGAGAGAGGGGAAGAGGAGGAGGTGGGGGAGAGTGAAAGGGGGGAGGGGGAAAGAAGAGGAGTAGGAGAAGGAGGAGGAAGAGAAGGAAGAAGAAGAAGAAGAAGAAGAAAAAGGAAGAGGAGGAGTAGGAGAGGGATTGAAGATGAAAAAAATAGGAAGAAAATGAGGACGGGTAAAGATAATGAATAAAAACGATAATAACGGTGATAATAAGATAAAGACGGTAATAACGATAATGATATTAATGACACTAATAGGCTCATATCAAATTAATGATAATACCTACAATAATCTGGCATGATTATATTAAAGATTTTGAAATTGATGTATGAACCAGATTTTCAGGTAATTTATTTTGATGGTATAGAAGATGAATTAAAATTAATGAAAAGAATGTGAAAATAAAGAATATTATGAATAAATGAAAGAAAAAGATCTGAGCCAGAAGAAGGAGAAAATGAAGAATATTAAGAGAAAAGAAATCTGAATGAAAGGAAAGAGATTATATAATTACTGAAAAAAATTCTAGAAGAAAAATGAAAAATTAACGAATAAAAAATTAAATTACTAACGAGGAAAGAGAAATGAAAGAGGAAGAGAAATCTAAGAATAAAAAAGGGAATTCTAAGAAAAAAGTGAGACGAAGAATTAACGAATAAAAAGACATAGGAATCAAAGCGAAAACAGGGAGAAGATAAAGAAATAACGAATAAAAAGAGAAAGGATAAAGAAATAACGAATAAAATAAAACAGAAATCTAAGCCAAAACAGGGAAAAGATGAAGAAATAACGAATAAAAAAGAGAGAAGATGAAAAAATAACGAATAAAAAAGAGAGAAGATGAAGAATTAACAAACAAACGAAAAAAAAACAACAAACAAAAAAACAAACAAACGAGAAAATAAGTAATTAATCTATGCACTAATAACGAGACAACGGTCGAAGGGGGAGGCGAGGGGAGGAGGGGGGAGGGGGTATAGCGCGGATGGCCATAGAGCTCATTTTCCCGTGGCATAGGGACGGCTCGGAGGGATGTCTGGCGCGGAGGCATTCCTGCTATCGCTTGGTGTCCCTCCTCCTCTCCCGTGCTGCCTGCTCCTGCTTTTCTCTGCTTCTCCGCTTCGTTGGTTATTGTGGGGATTCGTTTTTTTTTTTTTTTTTGCTTCTACTTCTCTGGTTCTGCTTTTTGCTCTTGCTTTCTCTGCTTCTCCGCTTCTGCTTCTGCCTTTCTGCTTTTCTCTGCTTCTCCGCTTCTGCCTTCTGCTTTTCTGCTTTTTCTCTGCTTCTCCGCTTCGTTATTTGGGATTCGTTTTTTTTATGCTTCTACTTCTGTGGTTCTGTCTTTCTGCTCCTGCTTTTCTCTGCTTCTCCGCTTCTGCTTTTCTGCTTTTCTCTGCTTCTCCGCTTCGTTGGTTATAATGGGGATTCGTTATTTTCTGCTTCTACTTCTCTGGTTCTGTCTTTCTGCTCCTGCTTTTCTCTGCTTCTGCTTCTGCCTTTCTGCTTTTTGCTTTTCTCTGCTTCTCCGCTTCGTTGGTTATTGGGTATTTCGTTTTTTTTGCTTCTACTTTCTCTGGTTCTGCTTTTGTTCTTTCTGCTTTCTGCTTTTCTTTGCTTCTCCGCTTCTGCTTCCCTGTTCTTTTCTCCTCTGCTTCTGCTCTTGCTTCTCTGCTTCTGCTTATCTGGTCCTGCTTTTCTCAGTTCTTTTTTTCTGCTTCTCTGCTACTGTTCTCTTGTTCCTGCTCTGTTCTTTGCTTTTCTCCTCTGCTTCTGCTCTTGTTTCTCTGTTTTCTGCTTATCTGGTCCTGTTCACTGTTATTTGCTTTTCTCTGCTACTGTTTCTCTGTTCTTCGCTATTCCGTTACGTTTTTTTTCTGCTTCTCTGCTTTTGCCTCTTCCTCTTCTCTGCTCTTCTATCCTCCTCTTCGCTCTCCTTTCTGCTTCTCTGTTCCCTGCTTTTCTTGATTTTAGTTTCCTGCTTCTGCTTGCTTTAGTTTTCACTTAATCTTTCCTGCTTCCTCTTCCTTCTTTCGTGCTCTCTTTCCCCTTCTTGTTTCTGCTTATTATGTTTGTTCTTCCTCCCTCTTTCGCCATTTTGTTCCGTTTCCTTCTCTCTTCTTCCCTTTATCCTATCTTCTCCTTTTCCCCTCTTCTTTCGTAGTTTTGCTCTTTCTTCTCTTCCCCTCTCTCCCTCATCTTTCGTAGTTCTACTCTTTCTTCTCTTCCCGTCTTCGCTTCTCCTCCTTTCGTACCACCTGATTTTTTTTCTCCATTTTTCGCCCCAATTTCTCTCTTTTTCCTATGCTTTTCTCTCTTATTCCTCCGATTTTCTTCCTCTCTTCATCCTAATTTTCTTCCTCCTATTTCCCTTATTTTCTCCCGGAAAACGGATGGAATATAGGAAACGAGAGGAGAGGGATAGAGAGAGGAGAAGGAAGGAGAGGAAAGGAGAGAGTTGGAGAGGAAAGGAGAGAGAAGGAGAGGGATGGAGAGAGGAGAGGGAAGAGAGAGGAGAGGAAGGAGAGAGAGGAGGAGAGGAGAGGAAGGAGAGAGAAGGAGAGAGGAGAGGGAAGGAAGAGAAGGAGAGGAGGAGAGGGAAGGGAGAGAGATGAGGAGGAGGGGAGGGAAAAGAGGAGGAGGGGAGAAAGGGAGAGAGGAGGGTAGAAAGGGAGAGAAGAGAAGGGAGAGAGGAGGGGAGAAAGGAGCGAGGAGGGGAGAAAAGGAGAGAATAGAGAGAGAGAGAGAGAGAGAAGAGAGAGAGAGAGAGAGAGAGAGAGAGAGAGAGAGAGAGAGAGAGAGAGAGAGAGAGAGAGGAGAGAGAGAGAGAGAGAGAGAGAGAGAGAGAGAGAGAGAGAGAGAGAGAGAGAGAGAGACAGAGCGCATTCCCAGCCTATTAAAAACATCAGTCTATGCATCTATTTGTGCTGTGTATCTGTTTTCATACTTAATGTATTCATGAAGTTATATATTCTTTGTTATATATATTTATATCAGCACGTAAGCCCATGAAACACACTCCCACACACATAGGCCTATGTGCGCCACTCGCATATACGTACACGCGCAGGAGGATGCGCACTCTGCCTCCATGTGCGCACGTGTACGTATATCCTGTACGTACGCCCTCGCCTAGATAATATCTCAAGCAAACGCGATTGATTTAAATGCCTTTCGCGATGACGACCGTTGGGACTGATTAGGCGCGGAGGAATACATCGGCGGTGGCGCCATCTTTCCCGCGCTTGGAGTTTGGGACTTGTTTGTGTCTTTGTTTTTGTTCTTTTTGCGTCTAGGGTATATGTATGTGTGTCTGTATGTGTTAGAAATGTATGTGGATGTATGAAATGTGTATATATGTGTATAGTGATAATGTGTCTTGTTGTGTGTTGTGTGTGTGTGTGTGTGTGCGCTGTGTGTGTGTGTGTGTGTGTGTGTGTGGTGTGTGTGTGTGTGTGTGGTGTGGTGTGTGTGTGTGTGTCTGTGTGTCTGTGTGTGTGTATGTGTGTGTGTATATGTGGTGTGTGTGTGTGTGTGAGAGAGAGAGAGAGAGAGAGAGAGGGAGAGAGAAAAAAGAGAGAAAAAAAGAGAAAGAAAGAGAGAGAGAAAGAAAAAAGAAAAAAAAAAGAAAGAAAGAGAGAAAAGAGAAACTAAAAAAAAAAAAAAAAAAAATCCTGCACCGCGCTCGCTTATTCATCCTAATCAGCGAATAATCCGCAGTAGACTTTTAAGGAAGATGAAGGCCGGGGTGGGGGGGGGGGGGGGCGGGGCGGCGGGGGGGGGGGTGTCAGCGATGTCAAGGTAGATGTCAAATTGTTAGATGTCAGGCTGAGAGGGACGTCCGGAGACAAAGGACTCTCTGGTGGGGCCCTCATTGTTGTAGGAGGAAAATGGGGGATCCTTTTTTATATATATATATATATACTTCTTAATAATTTTTTTCTACTTTACTTTTTTATATATTATTTTTGGTTAAATTTTGTCTGCTTTATTTTTTTTTATTTTTTTATTATCTTAACTTTTATATATGCTTTTAATTATTTATATATACTTTTTGATTATTTTTTTTCTACTTTACTTTTTTATATATTAGTTTTTGGTTAATTTTTGTCTGCTTTATTTTTTTTTATTTTATTTTATTATCTTATTTTTTATATATGCTTTTTTATTATTTTTATATTTATATATATTTTTTGATTATTTTTTTCTACTTTACTTTTTTATATATACTTTTTATTTTTTTTCTACTTTACTTTTTATATATTATTTTTGGTGATTTTTTCTACTTTATTTTTTATATATACTTTTTAAATATATTTTTTTCCATACTTTACTTTTTATATATTCTTTTTAATTATTATTTTTCCCACACTACCTTTTTCATATACTTTTTAAATATCTTTTTCTACTTTACTTTTTATATATACTTTTAAAATAATTATTTCTACTTTATTTTTTTATTTACTTTTTGATTATTTATTCCTGCTTTACTTTTTATACATACTTTTTAAATAATTTTCCTTTTACTTTTCCTTTTCTTATTCCCTTTTTATTTTTTTTTTGGATGACGCGAAGTAAAAGAGATAGGGTGATGAAAGGGTGATGATGGAATGATAGGAAAATGGTGTGAAGCAGGATGGGGTTTGTAGAAATAGGGTGATGATGAAGGTGTAGAAAAAGGGTGATGGTGGTGTAGAAAACAGAAAGGGTGATGATGAAGGTGTAGAAAAAGGGTGATGGTGGTGTAGAAAACAGAAAGGGTGATGATGAAGGTGTAGGGAAAGGTTGATGGTGGTGTAGAGAAAGGGTGATGATGAAGGTAGAAAAAAGGGTGATGGTGGTGTAGAAAACAGAAAGGGTGATGATGAAGGCGTAGAAAAGGGTGATGGTGGTGTAGAAAACAGAAAGGGTGATGAATGAAGGGTAGAAAAGGGTGAATGGTGGTGTAGAAAACAGAAAGGGTGATGTAGAAAAGGGTGATGGTGGTGTAGAAAACAGAAAGGGTGATGATGAAGGTGTAGAAAAAGGGTGATGGTGGTGTAGAAAACAGAAAGGGTGATGATGAAGGTGTAGAAAAAGGGTGATGGTGGTGTAGAAAACAGAAATGAGAAGGTGTAGAAAATGTGATGATGAAGGTGTAGGGAAAGGTTGATAATGAAGATGTTGAAAAAGGGTGATGATGGAGAGATAGGGAAGTGATGTGAAGTAGGATGGGGGGTGTAGGGAAAGGGTGATGATGAAGAGATAGAGAGAAGGTGTAGAGAAAGAGTGACGAGAAAGAGATAGGAAGAAGACGATGGGAATAGAATAAGGGTGTAGAGAAAGGATGAGGAAGAGAGGATAGAGTGGAGAACCGAGAAAAAGGTGGTAGTGTATGAGTAAGATAATAACAGGGTCATTGTTCTTTTATTTTGTTATTGTCAAGTCATGTATTTATGTTCTTCGTAAATGGAGTGTATGCTGCTGCTAGACAAAAAGAAAAAAAAGGAAAACAAACAAACAAAAACGAGGAAGATTCGTCTTTTTATAACTCTGTCAGAGGCTCGGATTCGCTATATTATTTATTTATTTTTTTTATTTTTTTTTTTTTTTAATTTTTTTTTTTTTTTTTTTTTTTTTTTTTTTTTTTTTTTGAAACGTCGATCCTTCAGAATGCTGTTATTTATCCGTCGCTCAAAACAGCTGTCACTTTTTCTCACATTCTGATCATTTTTTTTTCCTTCTTTTTTTCGTGTGAAAGACAACTTTTTTTTTTTCTTCTTCTTCTTCAGATCGTTAATTTTTTTTTTCTTTTTTTGTGAAAGACAACTTTTTTTTTTTTCTTCTCTTCTTCAGATCGTTAAAGAATTTTGTGCTGAGAAAGCATTTATTTTTGTCACCTCTTCTTTTTTTTTTTTTTTTTTTTTTTTTTTTTTTTTTTTTTTTACAAAGACATACCTTCCGTTGATAATTATCGGCGACAAAGCATTCCTTCCTTGAAGTGTTTTATGGTGTTGGAGGAGTGGGGGGAAGGGGTAGGGAGAGGGTGGGGAGTGGGGGAAGGTGAGGGAGAGTGAAAAAGGGAGGCGGAAGGGGAGAGGGAAGAGGAGGAGGCTAAAGAAGGAGGGAGGAGAGGAGGGGAGGGTCAAGGAGGGAGAGTAAAGGAGAGGGAGGGAGGAGGGGTCAAGGAGGGAGAATAAAGAGGGGAGGGGGGAGGCGACAGGCGGAGGGGGAAGTGAAGAGGGAGGGGAGGGGGAGGTAAAGGTGGGAGGGTGAAGAAAGGAGGAGATCGGATCAAACAGAGGAGGAAGAAA